GGGCACTGCCCGAGGGTCCGGGGGTTAGTAGGGGGCCCCATGAGATGCCCCTGGTACCTTTTTCATAGGCTTTTTTGAGTTTGGGCAAGGACTCAGGGGCCCCATGATCCCCTATTGCCGGGGGGCCCCATGAGTTGTCAGTCCACCCCTGCACATAGCACATATGGACCTTTCCTTTGGGGGTCAATACCATCTGGTAAGGCACAGTGTGATTGGTGTTGGTGAAGAGTTTTTTTTTCCCATTGGTGGTTTCCTGGGAACCTATCAGATATCTGTTGGGTCTTGGCTGGTGAACTTTTTATCTCTCATATATAAAAGCTCTAGATTGGACTTTTTGTTATATGGAAAAATATATTTAAGAATTTGTTTTAGCGCTGCACCTCCTCTGTATTTATGTTTTTAGATGATTTCTGATTGGTTGCTGGGTTTTACTCCTTGTATGACCATGCTTCCTGAAAATCACTCTGGTAAAAAAAAAAAAAAGGCCCAGTGGCTGAATTAAGAACTGTCAGTGTTACTCGACTCAGCAGTCATTCAAACCTGAACTAGAAAATTGCATTCGGAATCTGATTGGTTGTCATCACAGACAGTTCTTATTGCAGACATCCTGGCAGAGCAGTCTGCTTTGCATCACAGCTCTCTCCCCGACTCATTGCAGATTTAGAACGTAACTGAGCTGTGCAGATCTGAAGATTACATAATATGATACAAGAGCTCCGAGGATTTCCAGCTCAATGACCGCAAAGTGCAACCCACATCCGCCTCAGTACACCCAGAGGAGGGCACACTGCCTGCACCGCCAAGGGGAACATAAGCGGCAGATGGGGGTGATATAGAGGACACTTATAGTGCGTACAGAGGGGGGGAGGGGTTGGAAGTAGATGGGGTGATATGGGGGGCAGATGAAAGGAACATGGAGGAGACATGGGGGGCATATGAGGGTTCACATGAGGGGGGTAGAAGAGAGAAAATGGAGGTGACATGGGTAGGTGGTGATGAAGATGAGGTGACACAGGAGACAGGTTGTGTGGATGTGGTGACATGAGGGCATGTGGTGAGGATGGGTTGACATGGGGGGGGGCAGGTAGTAAGGATTGGGTGGCATTAGGGAGCAGGTGATGAAAATTTGGTGACACGGGGGACAGGTGATGAAGGTGGAGTGCCACAAAGAAAAGGTGATGAGGATGGGGTGACACGAAGGAAAAGAGATGAGGATGGGGTGACACAAATGAAAGGAAATGAGGATGGGGTGACACGAAGGAACAGTGATGAGGATGGGGTGACATGGGGGGACAGGTGATGAGGATGGGGTGACACAAGGGACAAGTGATGAGGATGAGGTGATACGGGGGACAGGTGATGAGGATGGGCTAACATTGGGGAGCAGATGGTGATGATGGGGTGACATGGGGGGCAAGTGTTAACCTGATGGTAAGGATGGGGTGACATAGGGAGCAGGTGGTGAGAACAGGGTTATGGGGGGCAGGTGGTGAGGATGGAATGACCTCAATGGGGGGGGTAGGTGGTGAGAATAGGGTGTCATGGGTGAGCAGGTGATGAGGATAGGGTGACATGGGGAGGGAGGTTGGTGGTGAGGATGGGGTGACAGAGGGCAGTAGTGAGGATAGGGTGACAGGTGATGAGGATGGAATGACATGGGAGGGTAGGTGGTGAGGATAGGGTGACATGGGGGGTAGATGTTGAGGATGGGTTGACATGGGGAGCAGATGGTGAGGATAGGAAGATATGGGGGGCAGGTGGGGAGGTTGGGATCACATGGGATTCAGGTGGTGAGGATGGGGTGACATGAAGGGCAGGTGGTGGAGGTGTTGGGGGGGAGTAAAAGAATAGTAACACTGAAGCCCAAAAAGAATGCCTTATCCATTCATGGTCTATGCCATGGTGGTGGGTTCCTCAGTGGTGATGATTTTGCAGAAAGGGAGGCCAGCAGTGGCTGTAGTTTTGGGTATCATATGGTTGGTGGGGGGGTCAGGGCATTAGACCCCTCACTAATACAGCATAGACGACCATCTCAGCTTCACTGAAGTGACTATGAAAAAAAATGCTCTGTGCTATTATTATGGTGATGCTGTGATTGGTTCAGCAACAGAAGTCTTTGCTGCCATACCTGTACTGTTACTGTGGAGTCAGTTCACCCAAAACTGAATGATGAGACTCAATAACCCATTGATTTCATTCATCCATCGAGGGATCCATCAATGAGATTGCACTGAGCTCCTGGCTCCTCACCTTTCAATGTATTTTATGTTACAAAAAAATGCAGCAAGAGAAGTAAGACTCTGTAGGTTAGCTTGGTAATGGTCCTGTGGGGGTGGGGGCAGAGCAAAGATCTTCCATCCAATTCCATCAGCACCAATCAGATGATTGTCACTGCTCCCCATCTCCCCTGATCTCTATACACATGCTGTGCACAGTGCAGAACACAGACACCTCCTGCAACATCAACAATGACTTTTTTTTATGGCATTGCTCAGGAAAACTCAAACAGCAAAAAATACTAATAAAAGTCTAAATGTATCCGGAGTGATGATTAAACAGACATTTCCACCCCTACAGGAAATGGAACAATATGCAAACAATCCTTCCCATTTCATTATATAACTGGGGCAGAGGGCTGGAAACGACCCAAAGACACCAATTCTAGAGAGGGAGCTCCGCAATATGGAGGAGGGGAGGAAATCGAACAGGACGTCAACGAACGAACCATGTATTCACACTGCCAATACACACACACAGACACACACTGCATTGTTTAAAACAGATAGATATACTGAATATTTATATATGGCCTGCTCCATTTATATACATAGAGATACAATGTATACATTTATATATGTCCTGGGCTGTTTGTATACAGACATATATATATATATATATATATATATATATATATATATATATATATATATATATATATATATCCTGATTTATTTATATACAGACAGGTACAATATATATAATTATATGTCCTGCACTGTTTATATACAGATATATACTATGGTGTTTATTTACTAACCTCAGCTTGTTTAAATAGGCTTTGGCAATAAAACCTGGAAGCTGATTGGTTTCTATGAAGAAGTGAGCCTGATTTTTCACTCCCCAGCTGTAGTAAATAAACCCCAATGTATATATCCTGTGTTGTTTATATACAGAGAGACACAATGTATATATTCATATATGTTCCACCCTGTTTATATAGAAACAATGTATATATTAACATATGTCCTGGGTTATTTATATTCAGGTTGATACAATGTATATATTTATATAAGTCCTGTGTTATTTCTATATAGATATATACAGTATATATATTTATATGTCCCATGTTGTTTATATACAGATAGATACAATGTATATATTATATATGTCCTGAGTTATTCATATAAAATTTACATTGTATCTATCTGTATAGGAAAAAAACAGGACATATATAAATATATGCATTGTATCTACCTGTATATAAATAACTCAGGACATATATAATATGTACATTGTATCTATCTGTATATATGTCCTTATTTATATACAGGTAGATACAATGCATATATTGAGATGTGTCCTGATTTTTTTTCTATACAGATAGAATGTATATTTTTATATATGTCTTGTATTATTTATATACAAATAGAAACAATTTATATATGTTATCTGCTGTTTATATACAGATAGATACAATGAATATATTTATATATGTCCTGTGTTATTTATATACAAATATATACAATTTAAATATGCCATGTGCGGTTTATATACAGATAGATACAATGTATATATGTCCTGTGCAGTATATGCACAGATAAATAGAATGTATATATTTATATACAGTATGTCCTGTGCTGTTTGTATCTATCTGTATATAATGTATATATTTATATATGTGATGTATTTTTTCTATACAGATAGATACAATGTTTATATTTTTATATGTGCTGTGTTATTTCTATACAGGTAGATACAATGTATATATTTATATATGTGCTGTATTATTTCTATACAGGTAGATACAATGTATATATTTATATGTGCTGTATTATTTCTATACAGGTAGATACAATGTATATATTTATATATGTGCTGTATTATTTCTATACAGGTAGATACAATGTATATATTTATATATGTGCTGTATTATTTCTATACAGGTAGATACAATGTATATATTTATATATTTGCTGTATTATTTCTATACAGGTAGATACAATGTATCTCCCATCACCTCCGGTGTCCTGATTTTTTTTTCCTATACAGATGGATACAATGTATATATTTATATATGTGCTGTGTTATTTCTATACAGATAGATACAATGTATATATTTATATATGTGCTGTGTTTTTTATATACAGGTAGATACAATGTATATATTTATATATGTGCTGACAGGTAGATACAATGTATATATTTATATATGTGCTGACAGGTAGATACAATGTATATACGTGCTGTGTTATTTCTATACAGGTAGATACAATGCATCTCCCATCACCTCCGGTGTCCTGATTTTTTTTTTTCCTATACAGATGGATACAATGTATATATTTATATATCCCCATGCTGTTTATATAAAAATAGATACAATGTATATTTCTATACATCCTGCATTGTATCCATTCTGAGTGCCTTCATTGCACTCCCCTAATAAGGGACCCCGCTCTCTCTACAGCCCCTGATTCTCCCATTACCTCCTGTTACCTGGATACTGCATTTACTTTAATGATAATCTCATTCCCCCCCCCCCCCCCGAGGACGTGATTTCGGTGCCCCCATCCTCTCCTTTTCACCTTCTAATTAAAGAAATACACACATCAACAATGGCACTATTCCCTGACATCCATTTTTTTTTTTTTTGACTAGTAACTTGTAGTGAAGGAAGAAGCTGCGGAGAGCTGAGCATCTGCTCCATGTTGGTTGCCGATAAGAAGGGTCAGTGCCGGAGAGGACACATCGTCATGGTAACAAGAGACGTGTGGGGTACTCACCGTGATGATGGTCTCCTTGTTCTGCTTTTTGGTGGGTGACGGCGAGCCGGGGCTCTGGGGGGACAGACAAGAGGCATCGTCAAAGCTAGTCTCAATATCGGACATGGTACAGTCAGCGTGTGTGTGCGCAGGTTGGATCAGGTAGAGGGATCAGAGCATCAGTCCTGCAACATCCGCAGCATCAGCACCACAAACCCCGGATGGATGACCACATCAGCCCGCGTACAGTGCCCAGCCAAGCAGCACACGAGATGTGTTCAGCCAAAAAAAGAAAAAAAAAATCTCTCACACCTCCCTCCACCAATGTGTGTCAGGGAGGACGGGGATCCCAGCTGATCACACACACACACACTCACACACACACACACTCACACACACACTGGGGTCACACGGGCGATAGCAGAGGAATTCCAGTCCTCCCAGGCTGCTCAGTCAAAAGCCAATCATCATCACCAACATTGCTAATTATAATGCAGCAACATGTGATAACATATTGATTGGAATGATTCCTAATATTGCTTTGGTGCCATTTTAGTATAATTTATTCCAATTATTTCTTTATATAGCTCTGACATATACCATGCTGCTGCACAGAGGACACTGAGCCAGTCACGTCTGTCTCTGCACCAGAGAAGCTTACACTCTAATCTCCCCACCACAGGTACACACTCTCATTATTATAACGCACTTCTACAGTACAGCTCTGACATATACTGAAAACGCTGTGCACAGAGCACTGAGCCAATCAAATCAGTTTCTGCAGCAGAGGAGCTTACACTCTAATCTCCCCACCACAGGTACGCACGATTATTATTAGAACACACTTCTATAGCTCTGACATATACTGTAGTGCTTCACAGAGAATACTGAACCACTCACATCAGTCTCTGTGCCAGAGGAGCTTACACTCTAATGTCCCCCCACAGGCACACACTATTACTTATATACTGTAACACACTTGTATAGCTCTTACATATACCCCAGTGCTGTACAGAGTACACTGAGCCAGTCACATCAGTTTCCACACGAGAAGAGCTTACACTCGAATGTCCCCCACAGTCACACATATATTACTGTTATAATACATTTATATAGCTCCGACATATACCATAGTGTTGTACAGAGTACACTGAGCCAGTCACATCAGTTTCCACACCAGAAGAGCTTACACTCTAATGTCCCTCACAGTCACATATATTACTATTATAATACATTTATATATAGCTCCGACATGTACCATAGTGTTGTACAGAGTACACTGAGCCAGTCATATCAGTTTCCACACCAGAAGAGCTTACACTCTAATGTCCCCCACAGTCACACATATATTACTATTGTAATACATTTATATAGCTCCGACATGTACCATAGTGTTGTACAGAGTACACTGAGTCAGTCACATCAGTTTCCACACCAGAAGAGCTTACACTCTAATGTCCCCCACAGTCACACATATATTACTGTTATAATACATTTATATAGCTCCGACATGTACCATAGTGTTGTACAGAGTACACTGAGCCAGTCACATCAGTTTCCACACCAGAAGAGCTTACACTCTAATGTCCCTCACAGTCACATATATTACTATTATAATACATTTATATAGCTCTGACATATACCATAGTGTTGTACAGAGTACACTGAGCCAGTCACATCAGTTTCCACACCAGAAGAGCTTACACTCTAATGTCACCACCACAGTAACACACATTTTTATGATAATACATTTATATAGATCCGACATATACCATAGTGCTTTACAGAGAACGCTGAGTCAGTCACATTGGTCTCTGAACCAGAGAAGCTTACATTCTAATTTCTCCACCAAAGTAAAAAACTATAATTATACATTTATATAGCTCTGACATGTACCGCGGTGCTGTACAGGGAACACAGAGCCAGTCACATCATTCGCTATACCAGAAGAGCTTACACTCTAATTTTTTTGCCAACAGTTACACACTATTATTATTATTATTATAGAGCTCTGACATGGTCTGTAGTGCTGTACAGAGAACACTGAGCCATTCACATTCGTCTATGCACCAGAGGAGCTTACACTCTAATGTCCCACCACAGGTAAACACTATTGTTATACATTTATATAGCTCTGACATATACCGCAGTGCTGTACAAAGAACAGATACCCTTAAAACCATCATCATTCTACCTTCCTATTTACCCCAATACTGACATCTCCATTTCAGCCCTCCTTAATCATGATGTAATGAAGTGGGTGGGGCAGGAACACAAAACTGGTGGGGGTGTCAGGCAGTGTGTATTAGCTTCTCTTTCATTGCAAATAAAGGAGCCAATAATGTAGTGCTATCAGTGGTCCTCATGTTGTGTTTTCCTTCTACTTCAGAGGAGATCATTTCCATTCTATTCCCCAGTGAGAAATCTAATAACCATTTCATTCTAATTCACAGACTTCTCTGAGCTCCTCTGTTTGATGTTCCCTATAATCAATAATTAGCTATCAGTCTAATCAGGTAAAATCCATACACCCCACCTGCTGCACCCTGACAAAACCCGGGCCAACATCCACATGTCTCAGTTCAATCAATCCTCCTCCATTCAGAAATACAGGTGAAACTCAAAAAATTTGAATATCGTGCAAAAGTTAATTTATTTCAGTAATACAACTTAAAAGGTGAAACTAATATATGAGATAGACTCATTACATGCAAAGCAAGATAGTTCAAGCCGTGATTTGTCATCATTGTGATGATTATGGCTTACAGCTCATGAAAACCCCAAATCCACAATCTCAGAAAATGAGAATATTCCATGCAATCAATAAAACAAGGATTGTATATAGAAAAATATCGGACCTCTGAAAAGTAGAAGCATGCATATGTACTCAGTACTTGGTTTGGGCCCCTTTTGCAGCAATTACTGCCTCAATGCGGCGTGGCATGGAAGCTATCAGCCTGTGGCACTGCTGAGGTGTTATGGAAGACCAGGATGCTTCAATAGCGGCCTTCAGCTCTTCTGCATTGTTCAGTCTCATGTCTCTCATCTTTCTCTTGGCAATGCCCCTTAGATTCTCTATGGGGTTCTGGTCAGGCGAGTTTGCTGGCCAATCAAGCACAGTAATCCCACGGTCATTGAACCAAGTTTTGGTGCTTTTGGCAGTGTGGGCAGTGCCAAGTCCTGCTGGAAAATGAAGTCAGCATCCACATAAAGCTCGTCTGCGGAAGGAAGCATGAAGTGCTCCAAAATCTCCTGGTAGACGGCTGCGTTGACCCTGGACTTAATGAAGCACAGTGGGCCAACACCAGCAGATGACATGGCTCCCCAAATCAACACAGACTGTGGAAACTTCACACTGGACTTCAAGCATCTTGCAGTGTGTGCCTCTCCATTCTTCCTCCATACTCGGGTCCTTGGGCCTCTCCATTCTTCCTCCATACTCAGGGTCCTTGGGCCTCTCCATTCTTCCTCCATACTCGGGGTCCTTGGGCCTCTCCATTCTTCCTCCATACTCAGGGTCCTTGGGCCTCTCCATTCTTCCTCCATACTCGGGGTCCTTGGGCCTCTCCATTCTTCCTCCATACTCTGCGTCCTTGTGCCTCTCCATTCTTCCTCCATACTCTGGGTCCTTGGGCCTCTCCATTGTTTCTCCATACTCTGGGTCCTTGGTTTCCAAATCAGATGCAAAAGTTGCTCTCATCAGAAAAGAGGACTTTAGACCACTGAGCAACAGACCAGGTCTTTTTTTTTAGCCCAGGTAAGACGCTTCTGGCGATGTTTGTTGTTCAGGAGCGGCTTGACAAGAGGAATACGACATTTGAAACCCATGTCCAGGATCCATCTGTGTGTGGTGGCTCTTGATGCACTGACTCCAGCCTCGGTCCACTCCTTGTGAAAGTCCCCAACACTTTTGAATGGCCTTTTCCTGACAATCCTCTCCAGGCTGCGGTCATCCCTGCTGCTTGTGCACCTTTTTCTTCCACACTTTTCACTTCCACATAACTTTCTATTAATGTGCTTTGATACAGCACTTTGGGAACATCCAACTTCTTTTGCAATTACCTTTTGAGGCTTTCCCTCCTTATGGAGGGTGTCAATGATGGTTTTCTGCACAACTGTCAGGTCAGCAGTCTTTCCCTGCGATTCCTACTGAACCAGACTGAGAGAACATTTAAAGGCTCAGGAACCCTTTGCAGGTGTTATGGCTTAATTAGCTGATTAGAGTGGGACACTTTGAGCCGAGAATATTCCACCTTTTCACAATATTCTCATTTTCTGAGATTGTGGATTTGGGGTTTTCATGAGCTGTAAGCCATAATCATCACAATGATGACAAATCACAGCTGGAACTATCTTGCTTTGCATGTAATGAGTCTATCTCATATATTAGTTTCACCTTTTAAGTTGCTGCGCTGAAATAAATGCACTTTTGCACAATATTCAAATTTTTCGAGTTTCACCTGTACATGTTAAAGTGAAAAAGTTTCCAAGCTATTTGTGGTCTGCAGTATGTCCTCTAATTCTACCACAAAGACATTGGTGACACAGATAAGATGAGAGAAAAAAACAGAATTGTGACATAATTACTAAAATTCACCTGCTCCATTTCTATATTTATATCACTCAGAGTTACCAGCAGATCGAAATCTAATGAGATATGGAAAAGGGAAACCATGACTCCTCTCCTGAAATACTCTGCACTGTATAACCACTTTAACTGGTTAGCACTTCTGCCTGGCAGTAGTACTAGGGTTGCTGGTTTGAATCCCAACCATGGCACCACCTGCCTGGAGTTTGCATGTTCTCCCTGTGCATGCGTGGGTTTCCTCTGGGTACTCTGGTTTCCTCCCACACTCCAAAGACATGCTGGTAGGTTAATTGGCCCCTGTCTAAATTGTCCCTAGTATGTGTATGTATGTGAGTTAGGGCCCTTAGATTGTACACCCCTTGAGGGTTAGAGACTGATGTGATTGTACAATATAGATGTAAAGCGCTCTGTAAATTGATGGTGCTGTATAAGTACATGAAATAAATAAATAAATAACTGTTTGTGGGAATGGATATAGGGGGTACTAAGAAGGTACCTCTGGACTTCCTCTGGGTCAGGGAAAATACCTGGTCAAGCA